AAATAAATATATAAAGTAAGAACAACATGTTAATTGTTAAATCTCAGTAATGGATATATTTATTTCTGTGTATCATTATGTGTAAAATGTTTATATTAAATATTATAGTAAATATTTTTAAAAGTAAAGTAAAAAAAAGTAAGTAATGAATATAGAATAAAGATTGAAATACTGAATCCAAAGGGAAGTTTAAAGGGATGTCATTTCTGGTGATGATGATGACAATAGTAATCCTACTGAAACAAGAACGGGCGAGTTTAGCAAGTGCCAGGCCCTGTGCTGAACACTCATCATGCATTGTCTCCTTTAGTCCACACCATGTCCTATGAAATAGGATCATTTTCTCAACTTTATGAATAAAATGAGAACTCAGAGAAATGAAATGACCTGCTCCAGACCTGTCTTCACTAATTCAGTGTAGTCCTGCTATAGGGAGTGCTGGGAGGCAGTGATGAGTTGAAAGAATCCAGGACGTATGGGAAAGCAGGTGAAGGCACAGAGGGGCTAATAAACTGGCTGAATGGAGACAAGACAACAATAGCAGGTCCCAGAGATGCCTGAGTATTTCATTAAAATGATGAGGCTGTAATTGAGGAACGAAGAGTACTGGAAGTGGTTCATTTTAAGACTATACTCTTGTATCTGGTGTACAGAAGAGAGCCATGCAATAATCGATGACTATTGACATTTCCAACAATGAGAAAGCAATTGGCACATATGGAAAACAATGTAAGTAGAGATGAAAGGATATCTTTTAAGTAGGAGTCTATCCTCCTTAACAAAGGACACCATACTATCTACCTCATTCCGTTCTAGTGCTGATCAGGGAAAGGATTGCTAGCAACTTCTCCCCAGTTCATAAGATTATTTTGATTGTGGGAAAAGAACAGCTTCTAGTGAATTTTCTTTAGCATTTCTAAAGCCAATTCACTAATGTTTAATAATTACTTCCTTTGAGCAGGGGGTACTGACCTAGGTTCAGCTATTTTATTTCAAACTAGAATTTAATTTTAACATTTCGCTTGTTGGGGGCAGGGAATATCCTACCTAAGAAAAAGTGGTCAACTATGTGCTCTGCTGGAGAGATTATCACAGCACGCCGGTGGCCTGGAGGTGCTGAAACAGACCGTTTCTGTAAAATTGAAATGAGTTCATTTTAGCTTATGGCTTTTTACTTACATTTAAAATGGAAGTAACTATTTTTAAAAGAAGGAAAGGAAGTCTAAATTGCTCTGCTAATCCAATGAAATATTGCCAAGAGGATAAAAGCAGAAGGCTGTGAGCCATGCGGGGGATCCTCTCCGAACCTTGTTCTTATGCCTCGTCTCTGTTTTCATTAAAGCAAGTCACAGAGATCAAATGAACCGCGGGCCCATGCTGAAGGCAAGGGCACATGTAGTGTGCTTGCTTCATCTCTGCCGGCAGCCCGCTCACCTCTAGGCTGGGATGCAGGCACACAGGTCAGAATAGTAATGCTATCCTCACCCTCCCAGGTCTCCCATCAGGAGCCATCAGGGAGCAGCAAGATGACTAAGTCACTCATCTAATTGCCTCCAGTTAGGTACTTGCTTGAATGAATAGGGGAGCTCACAGGAAAGGGGGAGACAAATCAGAAATAATAATGGCACCAATAATTCACATCCCTGTGGTTTTACGATTCACAAAGTGCTTCATATGCACGCCTGCCTTTGATCTTGCCTTTGGGTGAGCACCTTCAGTCCACTGTACAGAATAGCAATCCCAGACCCAGAGATGTTAAGACAGAAATTTGTTCCCACATCATACAGTTCGTTCAAAACATGGATTTTGATAACGAATGCTCCAATTCAAATCCTGGCTTTATTCCTTAGGAGCTATGCGACCCTGGGAAATTACTTACCCTCTCTCTGACCCTATGTTGTCATCTGTGAGCTGGAGCTAAGAATAGTATCCATTGGAAAGGTTGTTGTGGAGATCAAATGACAGGATGCATGTCAATCAAATACTAGGAACCTTCATATGGTAGTCAGTAAATGCTGTCATTACATTTATAAAACATTTGATGGCTCAAAGAATATATTTAGTTCAACTGTATTTATTAAGCTCCAGAACCAAATACTGTGCTAAATTCTGGTGATAAAGAATAAATCATTCATGGACTCAGCTCACAGGTCATAGGGCTAAGCGCAGATAAATGGACGCCCTCAGTATAAAGTGATATTTTAAACAATGAAGATAATTAGAGAATTCAGCCTGGCCTGAAAGTGTTAGAAAGGGCTTCCTAGAGAAACATACATTTCTGACTTGACCTTTAAAAAACCTCTTTAAAAAAAAGTGTTATTTTTGTCCAGTTGACAAATGAGTAAAACAAGTCTCAAAATGGTCGAGGACTTCCCAGTGAGGACTGGTGAATGGTGAAGCCAGGTGTCAGACGAAACTACCTCAAGGGCATGTTCCCTGTGAGCTGTCATTGAGATAAGCTGTGTGTTTTTTCTTCTGCACTAGCATTCTTGTTTAAAAGGGAACATTCATTCTTTCTGCTTCTCCCTTTTTCTCAAAGAAATTTGGCACAGAGAAGTTCTCTAAAATCCACAATCTGCTGGCAGTCACAGAAGCCTAGACTGGGAGAGACAATTGTTTACCTGTAGGGATCTGGAGGGGCAGAGATACACATACTGCTGTTGAATCATAGTTCTACCATTCAAAAGCTCTATGGCAATAGGCAAGCAACTTAACCTTGCTGAGCTTCAGTTTTTCCACTCATGAAATGGGGCAACAATAATCCTCACCTTCTGGAACTTCCATGATGATTACATTAGCACAGTGCTTGGCACACATTATAATTGCTCAGTAAACTTTCACTATGAACTGTAGAGAAATGCCATCCACTTCACCCCTTTGTTCTGATTGACAAATCATCTGCCCAATCTATTTTGAAAGCCTTTCCCCAGAGATTCAAGAGCTTCCTATGTGAAATATCCCAACGCTTGACCAATGATGCTACCTGGAAATCCAAGTCTTCCGTACATTGCTTGTGCTTGTGTCTATAATATTAACTTCCTTCTCTCAGGAAAATAAAAAAAGAGGATGGCTGGCCATGCTTTATCTGGATAAATAAATGAACATCTCACTCTCTCTCTCTTCTCTCTCTCTCTCTCTCTCTCTCTCCCCTAATCCCAAGACCTTACCATATTTTTCGGACCATAAGACGCTCAGGACCATAAGACGCACCAGTTTTTAGAGAAGGGAAATGAAGAAAAAAAGATTCTGAAACAAATAGTGTCCTAAAATATTTTATGTGCATTAAAACCCAACATCACAGTCATAAACACATGTAATCAACCCTGTAATGTAAACAGCAGCATTTAGAACCATTTTAGAGCCGGGCAAGCATACAGAGACCACACAGAGCCGGGCAAGTAAAAAAACTTTTTTTTAAAAGTATATGTGTAGGCTATATTTGGACCATAAGACGCAGGGACTTTTCCCCCCCACTTCTGGGGGGAAAAAGTGCGTCTTATGGTCCGAAAAATACGGTAATTGTCTTTAGAAGTCCTTTATTCACTTCCTTCCGCTGGTTATGGACAGGACTCCTCATGTCCTGAGATTGATGATAATGCAGGGAGCTGGTCATAATATTGTATGTGTTGTGCTCTTTGTTTTCAAAGCATGTTCACATGCCTAACTTGTTGATCCTAAAATAATTGAAATGTAAGGAAGGCAGGTATTATCCCAATGTTAAGGATGAGGAAACTTAAATATAAAGGAGAAAATAAAATAGCCACGACTGCTAAGAACTGATTAGGTCCCAGGTCTTTTATGCACATTATATTATTTAAATTTCTTAAGAACCCTCTCTTTTTTTTTCTCTTCTTTTATTTATTTATTTATTTATTTATTTGTTTATTTATTTATTTATTTTTTACATATTTTATTGATATTTTTGGCCCCCTCCCTCCCTCCCACACATCCCCTCCCTCCCCAGAGCTTTATGTCCATTGGTTGTACTTATATGCATGTATACAAGTCCTTCGTAAATTTCTTAAGAACCCTCTCTAATAAGTGTTAGCAGTTAATTTTGCTGGAGAGCTAAATGAGACCCAGAAAAGGAAGTCAGGCACCCAACTTTTTCCAGACAACTTTCTCCAAACTTCAAGTCCAAATCTGTCATACTCCAAAGCCAATAAGCTCAATCATGAACTTGTGAAAATCCAGAACTCCTGATTCACAGACCAGGGCACCTTTCATTAAACCACTTATTCAGTCCTTCTTGACTGGGTGAGGTACAGGAGCTGAACCCACCAGTCATCAGGTAGTCACTACTCACACAGACTGCTCTGCAGCTGTCCCAGGCTTCGCTAGTCTTCTGTTCATAGCTTCCTGGTCCTTGCCTATGGATTTCCAAGCATGCAGTCAGAGAGTAATAAATTGATGTGTATATAAATATTTCTATAATTTTAAAATAGCAATTTATATTATTTTACAAATAATATTTACATATTTCTATTATACATGTTATACAAAACATATAATTATACATATAACATAACAACATATATATTGATATAGTGAGAGCTATACATCTATCTACTGCATATATTTAATGTATATACATGTAAATGTTTCCAGAATTTGCCAGATTCTCCAGCAAGAATATAGATTTGTCAGGCCAAACAAGCTTCTCCAGGATTCACCAGTAATATATTTCTTCAAACAGATTTGGACATGAGAAAAATGAAAAAGAAATAGTACTGGGAGTTTCTTCTCTTCCTGGGTGTCCAGTCTATTTATATCTCTCTATCTCTATCCTATCTCTATCTCTATCTCTATCTCTATCTCTATCTCTATCTCTATCTCTATCTCTATCATCTCTATCTCTTTCTCTATCTTTCATCTCACATGGAGGTTGTAGGCAAGCTCTGAGTGGAAGGATGAATTCCAACCATGTTCACCTTATCCTGGGAGTGTGTGCTAATGTTGCTTCTTGAGCTGCTTCACTTGTTCATTTTCCATTTCACAAGGAGACGATGGTGAAAAAGGAGATCCAGGAGAGGAGGGAAAGCTCGGCAAAGTGGGACGCATGGGGCCAAAAGGTAAGAAAAATGGTATGAACTTGATATTGTACTGTTAGAATTGCTCTTCTCTCTCCTGGACTTGCTCTAGGAATTAGCAGCTTTCATAACACCCTTTGCTCTAAAGATACATGAAATATATTTCAGATGTAAAGTTACTTGCCACTGGAGAGTTCTTATGAGCTACCTGTCAACAAGACTCAGCTCCATTTCTTAAATTTCATCCTTAGGGGTGCCTAGAGTGGGATGCTCTGGGAGCCCCAGGGAATAGCAACCTTTGAGAATATCTAAGAAACTATGAATTTTGGAAACACAGTTATGTTCAAAACTGTGTCTCCCCTTAAAAGCCACTGCTAAGCAACTTTTTTGGCTGACCTAGAAATTAAGGAGAAAGATAAGAAGGAGAAGAAAATTGTTTGATCCTTTGATTTTCTCACCTTTTTCAAACATCTGGTGGTCTATGAAAGGAGTAGGAGGAAAGAAGATGAGAATAATACAAAAGCTATTAGAGAATGTTTTTACTCACAAAGCCAAAAGTAAGTCTCACACAAACATGGCTTCTGGACTATGACTTGTGTCTTCAAGCACTGGGAATATTCCCTGCCACCTGTACAAAGTGGCGACCTGAGACCACTGTTCTTTAAATCTTCAGCACTTCAAGAGAAGAAAACACCCACAGGTCTTGAGACCTCAACTTGAGATATTCTGATTTAAAATACTTTCATACTATAAATATGTAAAATATTCTATACATGTGTTGTACATTCCCTAAAATACTCAAATCCGGTTGTAAAACAGAGAAGAAATAGAACCCCAAAGTGAAGCTGAAATTGATCTAACAAGGCACAGAATTAAAATAAAATGCAAGAATTTTTCACTCAGCCCCTTATCTGGCCTTGAGATTAAACATCTGCTGCTGTAGTCCCTTCAGAAAGACTGCATCAGCAAGCATCTTAATATCATCAGGTTCAGGATTGTCATACCCACATCCATTATAATGCTATTAAAATAGTTAATACAAATATACCACATATAGGAAAATGCACTTTTTGGTATTTCCTTTGAGTGAATATCATATATTAGCCACTTTATTTAATATCATATATTTTCCACATCTTTAAAGGGAAGATAAAATGTTAGGATATAAAGATGACATGCTTTGCTTTTCAGGAGTTAAGGGAGAACTGGGTGATGTGGGAGACCAAGGCAACATTGGCAAGACTGGGCCCATTGGCAAGAAGGGTAAGCCACATCTTCCCATTCTGCAACAGCAATTTCAAGCAAATTGAACATACCTTTGATGTAGCTGAAATGTTCTTTGGCATGAAAATGATCTCTCTCTCTCTCTTTTAAATATAAGTATTCTATTTATTCATATGTTGGTTGTTCAGTAGTAGAAAACAATTATTAATATAACTCAAGGTAGCAGAGAACAGTATAATTTTATTTCTTGAGTAGACTAATAATAATTCTGTGTCAGTGATCTGTTAGCAGGACAGAAACTTGAAAAGTATATATTGTATATGAACATTTTTTGTCTTTAGTCTGATTCTGTACATAATTACTGCTTCAATACTACAAATTCCTCTATTACAAAAATAGAGGTAACCTTTTCTTTATTACCTAGTTTACTCTTTTCCTGTCTTCTCATAAAGCCCCTTATACATAGCAGGTTGTAATTGCTTCTGATCTTTAGTAATTCATACAGGCATTGTTCCACTTTGTTTGAAAATACAAACTAAATGAGACTCAAAATCTTATTGCAAGAAGCTCAGGTAATTTAGGAACATGGGACTTTTTCAGAAAGAATTACAATAGTGCCCTGACAGGTTTGGCTCAGTGGATAGAGCATCAGCCTGCGGACTGAAAGGTCCCAGGTTCAATTCTGATCAAGAGCATGTACATTGGTTGCAGGCACATCCCCAGTAGGCGGTGTGCAAGAGTCAGCTGATCGATAATTCTCTCTCATCGATGTTTCTACCTCTCTATCCCTCTCTCTTCCTCTCTGTAAAAAAAATCAATAATATATATATATATATATATATTTTAAAAAGAATTACAATAGTAACTTTATGACTACTATAAGTACCATCTGGGAGAGTAGACAAGATTGACATGGAGAATTAACCTGTGTCTTGAAGGGCAGTAAGATGTTTATGGAAATGGAAAAAAAGGCATTTGAGGGGGATACAAGAAATTGTGTGAAAAGGTACAGGTCAGGGGAAACTCGATACCTCAGGTAATAGAATTCTGTGGCTGTGTGTTACCTTCCCACCTCCATACATGCTAGAGCAGCTGCATAATTCAACATGTGTCTCACAGTGGCCAGCTGTGTGTTCCTGTGAGCAGGCTGATGGATGAGGTCTGAGCTAAGGTGTGGCCTCTCTCCTGGCATCCTACAGCACAGTACTTCTCTCCCTACTCTCTTCCAACTCATTCCTTTGAGAAATTTTCTTTGGTCTGTATTTGAGGGCAGGGATAGAAGGCAATGCCACTGAAAAGAAATCGCTCTGGTTATTTTTGATCCAGTATATTCATCTGAGGGTGAAATCCTCATAGCTGAGAAAGAGCTACATGGACTGCTCAAAGTTATCAAATATCTAGGAGTAAGTGTTAAAAGATGTGTAAGCCCTCCACAACAAATGCTATCTATAATAATAAAATCATAATATGCTAATTAGACCAGATGACTTTCCAGCTTGGGCTGTGAGGGAAGCTGGGGTCCTGCTGGTAGCCAGAAGGAAGCCAGAGTCCTGGGTGATGGAGGGAAGCCAGTGCCAGCTGGGAGGGGTGGGGGTGGTGAGGCCTACTCTTGCATGAATTTAGTGCATAGGGCCTCTATTGTAAGGATAATGAGAGAAGTTAAAGAATACTATCTAAGGAAATGGAGGTAAAGCTACATTCACAGATTGGAAGACTCAATATTGTTAAGATGTCAATTCTCCCTAAATAGACCTATAGATTCAATGCTATCTCAGTTAACATTCCAGAAGTAGTTCTCTTGAAATTTAATAAGCCAATGTAAAATTTTTGTGAAACCTCGTCTTTGTGGCTCAGTGGTTGAGCATCAACCCATAAACCAGGAGTCAAGGTTTGATCACCATTTGGCATGCAGGAGGCGGTTGAACAATGATTCTTTCTCATCATTGATGTTTCTATCTCTCTCACCCTCTCCCTCCCTCTCTCTGAAATCAATAAAAACGTATTTTTAAAAAATAATTTAAAAATAAAATAAAATGTATATTTGTAAAATAAAATAAAAAAGGATCAAGAATACCTAAAGAAAATCTTGAAAAAGAAAAACAAATCTGGATGGCTTAAATCACTGAATTTAAACATTTATTATAAAGTTACAACTATGAAGATAGTATTGATTTAGTACAGAGACAAATAGATGAATGGAAAGGATTAGAGCATGCAGAAACAGACTCCCACACTTGATTTATTCAAAGTTGACATTACAGTGGAAAAGGATGAACCTCTCAATAAATAGTGCTAGGTCAATTGGATATTCATGAATGCAGCCAAATATATGCTGCCCATAATGTATGAAAAAGAAGAATTATAGAGGCACAGAATTCATTTATTAATTAAAATGTTATAATCCTAGAGCACTGATAATGTGGTATTTGTCTATTTTTTAAATTTAGTGATTTTATTTCTTTTGTATAACCATTCATTTTTATAATCACTTTCTATTTGAAATTTGGTATTTTTTTATATTTTTATTTATTGATTTGAAAGAGAGAGCATTTGTTATTTCATTTCTTGATGTACTCATTGGTTGATTCTTGTATGTGTCCTGACTGGAGATCAACCTTGCAACCTTGACATACTGAGATGATGCTCTAACCAACTGAGCTACCTGGCCAGGGCATTGGTACTATTTTTCTTAATGATGACTCCTTAAATTGTATAAAGCTTCAGGTAAAATTCATTATCCATCTTTTCCTGACTCTATCAGCTGCATTCAACAACTAGTTGAAGGAATGAAAAGATGTAGCCAAAAAGTGGGATGTTGGACATGGCGATTTCTGAGATGCAGCCTTGTTAGATGAGGACAAGATGGACAAGATGAGGACAGTGCTATCCTGGAAAGGGCAGAAGTGAAGGGGGAGGGTACATCACTGCCATGAGCATCCCCAGAATTCAAGAACTTAATTTTTCAATGAGTGATTCAAGATGTTGCATGAACCTAGTTTTAAATGTGTCAACTAACAGAGATGGCATTCATGACCTTGAACCAAGTCTTAATCCTTTCATAGATTAAGACTCGATAACTTGGAAGAGTGGTAGATGACAGAGACTAGAGAGGGTTAAGATTTTAGTATGATTTTCTGGGTGTGAAAATGGATGAATTTTCACAAATGTTGGAAAAGTAACTCTGGGGAGGATAGAATTAAACTGACCTTATCTCCCTCAGGACAATTCCGCATTCACACTCAGGTGCATAAGCAACACCTTGCATTTCTCTCTCACTGTACCCATTGTCATGGCTTATTACCTTGTCTGTTTTGCCCTACTGACCATGAAATAGAGTGAACAAATGAATGAAAGATTTATTGGGTCAATTTGCTTAAATATGAACTATATATGAGTACCCTATTTTTAATCATTTTATCCTAATGTCTATTTTATAGTAGAAAGTTTCTAAATGTTTGCTGCATTAAGGATGAAAAAAAAATGAGTGGTAAATATATTATTTCTAATCATGTAGCCCTCTTTTCTACCCTTTATTTCTTTAAGTACCACTTTCCCTTGACATCAATTTTCAACATTGACTAAGATTTCTTTCTCCTCCAGAGATATGCCATCAAAATTTATGAGCATGTCCTGAAATTTTTTAAAAATGGAAGTTCACTGTTCTGGCTCACCTGGATTAATTTCATTTTTAATCGGACTTTGAAATTTATTGCCCTCATTTTGTCAATAGCCCTTCTAAATTTTTCACTGACACAGATTAATCTCAACTTTCTGGACTGGTCTTAATGTCACTTGCTTAGACAGGTAGCTTTCTGGATGTCAATATTTTATCTCATGAATAAGAAAGGATAATTTAATATAGGTAAATTAAATCTCATGGCAAACAAATGCTTTTACTTAAGGTCAATATTCTTTCACAGTGAAAGCATTATAATTTTTATTTGTTTAAATGGAGCCTCTAATTCTTCAGTGTTAAGGCATTTGTTACAAACATGTTTCCACTCATGGACCAAAATAACTCTTTGTGTATGGCTTTTAAACCAGAATTGGCTTGAGCAAAATCGATATTATAAGTCCACATCATCCATCGACTGGCTAAGTACTTGGCATATTCACTGTTACCATAATTCTGATTTAGGAGACAGAAGCTAACATTGGTCGAACATCTTCTATGAGCCCAGCACAGACATAATCCTATGATAAAATAACATTATCTAATCTATCCTCTTTAATGATCTTAGATATTAGATACCATCATTTCCACTTTAAATATCAGAAATGGAAGTTTTAAAAAATGCAGTAGCCTGTCCACATTTATCTAGTAAGTGACAGAGCCAAAATTCAAGTCTTGGTTATTCAGACTTTTATAGTCTTTCACTCCACCACACTGCTTTGTCTTTTCCATCTGTAAAAAAAGAAAGTAATTTATATCAAAATACTAGAAAGTCATCTAGGACTTACATTTTCTCAGGGGGGGAAAAAGCGAATTATCAGTTTAATAATCTGTTTCCCACACTATTAAGATTTAATTAAAAGCTTTTGCTTTGGTGAAACTTTCTGTACTCTGATCCACAACCATTTTTGCTTTCTCTGAATACCTATCAGATATTTTCTGTATTTTACTCTGTTAATACATGATGGTTATAATGTGTCATCTCCTTGGTCCCTAATATGGGCTTTGATTTCCTTAAGAATATTTTTTTTCAAAGCAAATATTCTGTTTATGCTTCTTTTATGTTCATTGTTGGGCTTACCCCAGAACTAGGATCAATTTTTAGCCCATGTTAAATTGAAAGGGATTTACATATAAAGAAAATACACTATCTTAAAATAATTAAAATATTAAACCATATTCATATGACCTTTCAAACCCATGTTGTTTTTGGTGGTGCTAAGGACTGGTACCCCTTTCAATTTTTTATAACATTTTTTGAATACTTTAATTTCTTTCATTAAATCATTAGCTAACTCATTTGGGAAGTCCCATGAACTGGGGAGTCAGAAATGGTTGGGCTTCAGTATCAGGAGTTCCATTGAATTGATGGATGTCCCTGAGCAACTTATTGTACCTCCTGGATCCTCAGTTTCTGCAGTGGTAGACTTCAGATAATGATGATACCTAGTACATTGGATTTAATATGATAACATCTATAAAGTACCCAAAATACTTCTTGGCAAATGATCAGCACTTAGCAAATCTATATTTCTTTTCTTTCTTTAATGCATTCAAAATCTATTCTTATCTTTTTCAATTTACATAAAAAGAATGAGGAATTTGCAGGACACAACTTAAGTATGAGCATACTAGTGCCTCTTACTGTGCCTCTCCTGTATGTTACCTTCTATTTTGCTCCCATCTCCACGTGCTGAAGATTTCATAACCACTCTCCAGTGCCAACTCCTCAAGAGAGCCTCCTTCATCCTTCCATCTGGAATACTATTTCTTCTAGCTTCCTCCCAAAGTATGTTATCTCTGTTCAAGGTCTTTCTTGCAGTATTATCAGCACTCCATTGTCATAGATTTTACTATATCTCATTTATTCTAAGCACATATTCTGAGGTGTCCTCCCACGTATTTAAACTGATTCTGGATTTCAAAGACCCCCTCCTTTTGTGTGGCAAGCTCTTCTATGACTGACAACACTGTAAAGAAAAGTGTCCATGTAAGTTGGTTTAGAAAAACTCAGCAAGTCCTTGGGGACCAACAGGTGTTTCTTTCTGGATGATCAGCAGTCAATGTGTACAGGATTATTAATAAAGACCACTCAGCAAGAATGTCCAATGCCATAGTTACTAGCAACATGGGTTTATTTGAGCACTTGAGATATGGTTAGTCTAAACTGACATGTGCTGTAAGTGCAAAACATATATCAAATTATGAAGCCTTAATACCAAAAAAGTAAAATATCTCATTAATATTTTTATATCAATTACTTATTAAAATGACAATATTTTTATATATACATTAAGTAGTATATAGTATTTTTAAAATTTGAAGCACTAAACAGACAGTGATGACAAGATTAGCTAATGGGCCGAAATCGGTTTGGCTCAGTGTAGAGCTTGACTTGCGGACTGAAAGGTCCCGGGTTCGATTCCGGTCAAGGGCATGTACCTTGGTTGCGGGCACATCCCCAGAAGGGGGTGTGCAAGAGGCAGCTGATCGATGTTTCTCTCTCATCGATGTTTCTAACTCTCTATCCCTCTCTCTTCCTTTCTGTAAAAAAAAATCAATAAAATATATTTTTTTAAAAAAAGATTAGCTAATGGACAGGAAACATGGGATACCCTATGGGTTTTGGAAAGGCTCCCGCTTTTTGGTAGGAAAGTATGGGGTTAGGCAAAATCTTGAGGCTGACTTTGTCCTCTCTCACATTGCCCCCTCAGGTCATGTACCCAATTCCCTGGCTATGGCTATACCAAACCCCCTCAGGGCTAAGCCACATACCCCTTTCTAGTCTGGGTGACCTTTACCCTGTCTTTATCCCTCCCGAGGCCTTCTTCTGTTTCCAGACCACCTTTGAAGCATTAACTCTATTTTACTTCTATCAGGGTCTTCTCTTTTCATTCTCAAGAGCTTCAGCTAAACATTTCCTCTTGAAAATCAAAGGCTTTTGCTTTCAATGGTTGTGTCTGATGTGGCCATAAGAGCTTATTTTGAAGTTTAAAAAAAAATCAACATTTTTTTCTCTCCACTTTAATAATCGTGATTCTCTGAATGGATGCCTCTGACTGAATAAGAAAATGATGACATACAAAGAAAAGCAGAAGGGAAAATGATCAAGGTTGATATTTCATTATAATCTATTTGACACGATTTATTTATAGATTTTGCATACATCACATCTCTTTGAAAAGTGTGTAAACTCTTTTAAGTCAAAAGTTTAATTTTGTCTCTTTATAGCCTTTCAAAGTACCAAGCCTTCTGTCTTGCGCAAAGTAAATAGTAAATATTTGAAAAAGTAAATAAGTTGAAAAAAGCACAATACATGTTTTTGAAAATTCAAGGGCGAAGCCATATGGAAGAATTTTAGTGCATGATAAACAGATGCTGCAATGTGTTAATCAGTTGATCCAGATATACAAAACAATGGTACTTTTAAAATTAAAAACATGCAGAGAATTGTATTAGCCTTGCTCAGAAGGGCACATTATAAACACAGGTTCGCAGAATAGGTGACACAAATGTTAATGTTTCTTACACATCCCGCTGGAATTCTACATTCAACCTAATTCAATTATGACTTGTACCATTAGTTGTACCTGTGCAGCCAACTCCAAATCAAATTATTCATACAAAACCAAGGGATGCTGGTGGAAGTTATTGCAAATTAATCTCAAAACTGTTTCCTCTGATTTTAGCTGATCAAGATATTGTTTGTCTGAAACAATTCATTATTTTAATTATTACTCTGCGGCCATTGTTTCTATTCAGGTGACAAAGGGGAAAAGGGTTTGCCCGGGATTCCTGGAGGAAAAGGCAAAGCAGGTATGCTTGTTGATCTTCGCCTTAATTTCTGGCATCATTCCAAATGTATTTATCTCCAAAATAGATTTACTTTTTATGAAAAAGAAAAACATTTGCAGTGTACCTATTTTATTCAAGGTAAAGGCAAGAAAGAAGGGAACTTTCCTCTTTGTAGGCTGGTGACTTTCCAAGCCCTGGGGTAGGGGTGATGGCACATTCCGTCATGCTGTGAGGAATCAGCCCTCATTCTGCTAGACCAAAAGGAAAATCCACAGTGGCCTCAGCACTAGGCCTGGTCAGCATGCCTGACATTCCAACAGCATCCCAACCAGATACTGGCCAGCAGTTTGCCAGAAGCAAATTGGCCTTATCTGAAAGACCCTGTGATTACAGGACATCAATGACCATGGACACTCTCTCCAAATACTGCAGAGTTTCATTTCCAGAGCTACCTGCAGGGATAGAAAGTACTTGTTTGGGAGTTTCTGTCTATAGGGGTATAGTAAAGACTAATTCTAAGAACTGTTTTAAATTCCTTATTTAATTGAAAATATGGAGAAATAAAGCCACAAGTTTCCCGCTTCCCTTTGTCTAATAAATTTCTTTTTTTTTTTTCAACCACCTTAGAAGAAAGCAAACAGAAATGTTTATATGAAGCAGCCACCAAATAGAAAAAAAAATAGAATCATTTAAATTTCACATCATTTTCCTTACAATTCCTTCTGTGTCACAGTATCAATAGGTATTAGGCAAGGGGAGGGGGTGTGTGTGTAAATGAGCAAAGGGGAATGAATGACAGAAATTAAAATCATAATTAACCCACAAATGTGACTACTAGCTCTTGAAATAATACATTGGGTCTTTTCGTGAGATTTAAATTTGGTCCTCAACACATTCAAGCTATACTTCAAGTGGATCATCAGAATTTACATTTTATTTCATCATGAAAGGTTTCTCCTGCCCTTGTGTGAGTGAATGAACAATGCAGTAATAGAAGAGAAGACTGGCTAGAAATTGATTTTCAGAAAGCTGTAAAAATGTTATTCTGAAATTGGAGATCACATCCTGTGTTCCACAAAAATGCTATATGATCCACAACATGTGAGCAGTGGCTCATCTTATTTACTCTCTTTTTTAAGAAGATGGTTTCGGCTGAAACCGGTTTGGCTCAATGGTAGAGCATCGGTCTGCGGACTGAAAGGTCCCAGGTTCGATTCTGGTCAAGGGCATGTACGTACATTGGTTGCAGGCACATCCCCGGTGGGGGGTGTGCAAGGTGCAGCTGGTCGATGTTTCTCTCTCATCGATGTTTCTAGCTCTCTATTTCTCTCCCTTCCTCTCTGTAAAAAATTAATAAAATATATATTTTTTTTTTAAAAGAAGATGGTTTCGAACTGTGTTTCAACCCATTCACAATATTTTAAAAGCTATATTCTGACTTCCTAAAGGCAGTGCAATTTGGAAATCTTATTTTTAATAAAAGATTGAAAGTATAGCTGCTCACAGAGAAACATAGTAGACTGGAAACAGATAGTAAATGTTGGGAAGAGGGGGTGGCTCCTTTCTACTCACCTGCATGTGTTTCAACAAGAATTCACAGTTTTGTCCTTTTAAAGGTACTGTCTGCGATTGTGGAAGATACCGAAAAGTTGTTGGGCAAATGGACATTAGCGTTGCTCGCCTCAAGTCATCTATGAACTTCGTCAAGAATGGTGAGTGTATTCTCTTTTGCTTTGTGCTATTTATTGATTTAGTATTTTTCAACATTACAATTCCAGTGTTTCTAGCAGGAAATACCTTGGATTGGGCAAAGGACGACTAAGATAGTGCCACCAGATTAAAGGTCTCTCAAAATACTAATTATCCACTCCAACTCCAGGACACTTCTTCAAGTTCACTACATATATTTGTACATATTGCATTGACTATGGGTAGAAAAAGTTACTTTCTGGAGAGTGGGGATGTTGAAAAGGTCAGTTTGGCAAGCCATGCTTTGAGAATAAAAAGGGACAGCAAGACTCAAATAGAGCGATCATCTCAAAGAAATAAAAGTAATAATAAAAACAAAAGCATTTCCTTGAATACTTGCAATATTAATAATTGTGATATAAGTGCTAAGATGAAGATGAAGCTTAGGAAGATGATCTTGCACAAAGATACAGAGCTAATGAACTGTGGAGCAGGGATTTGATTATAAGTTTCACACAAATTAATAGGAACATCGTGTGTTTCTTTAAATTTTGCAACTTTTCATATTAGTCATTTTTGCTATCTCTTGTCCTTAGCAGTTACATCCTTAAAGTGAGGCTATGTGTTCTCTTCTGAGACAGTATGATGAATGCAGGAACTATTGTAATTAGTGTCACAATTGGTTTCATTTTGTTGTACTTTCATTTACTGCAATCCAGCTATATTTGTTTACATTATTGGAAGCACACAGATGCCATCGTGTGTTCATCCTCATCTTGTAATACTGCAGGCACAGGAAATGCTCAATATTAACTTATAATTCTGCACAAGACACATTCTGTGGCATGACTTGGCTACTCATGAATAAACCAGACTCAGAGGTTCAACATACAGCAATAGTTCTTAACATTTGAGTGGTCACAGATTTCTTTGTGCATTTTAATTGATGAACCCTAAAAAGTATATATTGATATCCCTAAACCCAAAACATATATAGCACACTCTGAGCTGGAAATGATTCTGTGTCCCCAATTCTGACTTGAAGCATACTCAGTAGCTCAGTCTATGTTATGTACCTGGAATGAAGTATGAACAATCTCAAAAGATGTACGTATTCACAACTCTGGAATTGGCCCAACATGGAAAAACTTCTGAATTATTCCCATATCAGTTTAATAAGTTTCTATAATCCTTTGTAATGTTGGAAGCACCACCACTACATAATAGCAAAGACATGGTTATTGTTCTCAAGATGTTCACAGTTTAGTAGAAGAGACACACAAAAAATTAGACTAGAATGTGTTGAGTACTAAGAAGTGGGAACAGGGGATAAGACTCCCAGTGTGTGCTCAGGGAAAGGCTCCTCTGAGATAAAACACTCACACTGAGATTGAAAGGGTAAGTAGAGTTTTCCAGGTAGAGGAGCTGTAAGAAGAATTCCCAGGCATGAGAAGCATGGAACTGGAAGAGAGGGCATGCTCATGGACCTGTAAGCTTGGCAAAGGCATACACTAGGATGGGAAAAATAGTCTGAGATGAGCTTGGCTGCAGTTCATGTAACAAGTCTGTGTCAAAATAGCTCTTTCTTCAGTTGTGTGGGAAGTTAAACAGGAATGGCAGGGAGGACAACTGGTAGGAGTTTTTTCTCCATTTGAAAACTAGAAAGGTGGAGAAAATATTAAACCAGTGCCAAGGTCATCAGAGGGCCTTGCCAAATAATTGTATACTTTTAAAGAAATATATTTAAACCCAGAAATATTATATGCTTGCCTTTTTTCTTTTTGAGATAAATAATTACATTCTTCTCTGCAAAGTCATAGCAGGGATTAGGGAAACGGATGAGAAATTCTACTACATCGTGCAGGAAGAGAAGAGCTACAGGGAATCCCTGACCCACTGCCGGATCCGGGGTGGCATGCTAGCCATGCCCAAGGACGAAGCTGCCAACACACTCATCGCGGACTATGTAGCCAAGAGTGGCTTCTTCCGGGTCTTCATCGGGGTGAATGACCTAGAGAGGGAGGGACAGTATGTGTTCACGGACAACACCCCACTGCAGAACTACAGCAACTGGAAGGAGGGGGAGCCCAGCGACCCCTATGGTCATGAGGACTGTGTGGAAATGCTGAGCTCAGGCAGGTGGAATGACACCGAGTGCCATCTTACCATGTATTTTGTCTGTGAGTTTGTCAAGAAGAAAAAGTAACTTCTCTCATGCTACACATTGGTTATTCCCTGTGACTGCCATTGCTGCTCTTTTTATCTGTCCTTTTCTTCCTACTTATGCTAAATTTGTTCTGACTCAGGACAAGTGGAAAATGCTAAACTGGGGTTTGGAATCTTCATCGCCCTGTTCTTTGGTGACAGTTTTAGACATTTGTTTATACAGTATAGTATTGAGCCAACAGCTTGCATGGGTCTCAAGAGAGAGTTTGAATTGTTAGTTGTGTGGGAGGTGAAATAAAATGTTCTCTTAGCATTTGCTCTGTCCCCTCTCTCTAAAGCCCTAATTGCTCTCTACCTGGCCCAGCAGATAATTGGGACAGTTGGTTGGTGAGGACTAAGAAAATCTGTCATTCCCAAAGTCAGACATGTGGGGGGGGGGGGTCTTAAGTTTTCTAGAAATGCCAATATATTATTCATTTCGGAATCCAAGATCCCTAGTTCTTTGATCCATCATCACCATAGTCATCCTCATACTTGTAAGTCTCTCTTGGTCACATAAGCATAGAAACACTTCACCCCAAACCTCTATATGAGGCATTTCTGTGATGTCAGAGAGACCTATTCCAGGCCATATAGAACCGGAACCATACAGAATCTTTTTGTACTTCTCACCTATAATTTTCAGTGAAGAGTATCAGGTAGCTGCCCTGGCTCCCTTCCTTTAGGCCTACAACTTAATCCCAGACCCCCAGATGATTAACTCTCTGACTTGAGGAAAAGGGACCTTTAGAAATTAAAAAGAAAAGGATTTGTTCCCAAGCAATATGATTTCTAATCCTCCTGCTAAATTGCCCCTTGCTACTAACATAGTTCCATTTTTCCTTGTCTTAGGTTGACTCATATCAACTGTCCTTCCTTAGTCATGGGGAATGATGGATGGGGTTTGTGAAGCCTTCAGAAAACTCTAGAAGGTTCCAGGAGCTACCAACATCAAGTCTCAAATCCCCCTCCTCCCTACGTCTAATGTATCACTCAGGGCAACATTTTATGGGAGGCCCTTTACTGCCATAACTGTATGTTGTAAAAACCCAGAGCAGAGATGCCCTTTCTAGTACTCTGACATCACAGGAATGCCAGGCATGGAGTTTGGAACAGATCTAGGACTCACATTTACTGAGCTGCTGAAGTTCTATTTTGAACTACAGATCAAACTTCTTAGCAGCTTTCATTTTGGAATCTAAAAATAAACAGTTCAACAAAACTCTAGATTATCCCCTTTTATTTTGCTGCTCCAGTTATAGTTTGTGACATATGATCAGGCTCCTTAAAATTCTGGAAACATGGTTAATGAACTTAGAGAAACAGATCAACAACATATGTTCACCTTAAACCGTTTGTTCATGATTTCACCCATGACTAACTGGTTATGAGATAGGATTTAATTAGGTTATTTCTGTGGGTTTAACAAGGGTCACAAACTCAAGTACTACAAGGGCCATACATATGACACAAATAAATGAGGTGGAACAGGTGGAATCCTGTACACTGAAAACAGCTTGCCCATCTAAATGAACCAGCTGCTCCTCGGTGGCTGCTATTTTTGCCATGGAGGAACCAATGTCACTACATGTTCTGATATTTCAAGAGAAATGAGAGAGCTGGAATTTTAGAAGTTAACTTTATATTTTTTAAAGTTGGCATATGGTCCATTTTTAACCCAAATTTTAAGCCATACAAAACAGTCTGCTAGCCAAAATCATGACCTTTCCATTTCTCACCTCTTGGGGAATGTTCCAAAGATTCTAACCATATTCAATGTCATTAGGATACAGTGAAATCCAAGTCAAGATCTCCCATTGATACCTCATTAGTTCAATCACAGGAATTTCTTCAATGTTTTCCACTCATCAAGTTAATAAACCAGTTACTTATTCAGGCTTTGAGACCGTGACATATGATATTTTGAAGGCAGGAGTTTAATAAAAATTATGAAGAGAACACAATATCAAAACCAATATCTTTGGGTCGAATGCCAGCCAAGAGCATGAGGCACAAGACTCTAGAAACACTTGGAGGAAAAAGAAAGGGCAAAAAAGAGAGAGGGTTAATGGACAAGTAAACTTTGCCTAAGATCTCCTCTGGAATTCACATTCTAATTTGTTCTGAGAACCTAAAGTATGAATATTTGTTGTATGTATTACAAGTGCTATTATGAGTTCTATTATGATCATTATAATAATAACAGCATTTTTCCATGGTTATCTTTGCTTCCAATGTTTGCAAGAGAAGATCACAGAGCTTCAAAGAATAGGATTCATCCTTCCATGATGCCTAGAGGAAATGTTTAAGGTACCACAGACTTAATTAGACCTATTATGAAACTTGCTTTGTGCTTTACAAAATAAATACCTTCACATATCAGATATGTGATTTTGGTAAAATTTGTGAAGTATAAAAAGTAGACATTTTTATTTTAATTCTTTATTGTTTAAAGTGTTACATATGTCTCCCTTTTCACCCATTGACCTTTCCTCAGCTATGCCAGCGCATGCCCCTACCCCTTATTGTCTGTGTCCATTGGTTATGCTTATAGGCATGCATTCAAGTCCTTTTGTTGATCTCTTACCTCACTCCCTCTCCTCCCTTCCTTCTGAAGTTTGACAGTCTATTTGATGCTTTTATATCTGTGGATCTATTTTTGTTCATCAGTTTATGTTGTTTATTATATTCCATAAATGAGTGAGATCATGTGACATTTATCTTTCTCCAACTGGCTTATTTTGCTTAGCACAATGCTGTCCATATTCATTCATGCTGTTGGGAATGGTAAGAGTTTTTTTGTTTTTTTGTTTTTTGTTTTTTTTTTTTACAGCAGCATAGTATTCTATTGTGTATCACCATTCTTTAACTCACTCATCTGCTGATGGGCACTTGGGCTGTTTCCCAATCTTAGCTATAGTAAATTGTGCTGCTAAGAACATAGAGGTGCATGTCCTTTCTGATTGGTGTTTCTGATTTCTTGGGACATATTTCTAAAAGTGGGATTACTGGGTCAAATAGGAGTTTCATTTTTATTTTTTTAAGAAAATTCCATTCTGTTTTCCACACTGGCTGCACCAGTCTGCATTCCGATGAGCAGTGCACAAGGGTTCCTTTTTCTCCACACCCTCACCAATACTTGTCATTTGTCAATTTGTTGATGATAGCCATTCTGACAGATGTGAGATGGTACCTCATTGTTTTTATTTGCATCTCTCAGATGATTAGTGACTTTGAACATGTTTTCATATGTCTCTTGGCCTTCTGAATGTCCACTTTCAAAAAGTGCCTATTTAATTCCTTTGTCCATTTTTTTATTGGATTTTTTTTTTTTATCTTGAAGGGCAGAAATTTTTACTTCCATTTTCCCAAAGAAGATACCGTATTTTTCGGACCATAAGACGCTCCGGACCATAAGACGCACCAGTTTTTAGAGAAGGGAAATGAAGAAAAAAAGATTCTGAAACAAATAGTGTCCTAAAATATTTTATGTGCATTAAAACCCACATCACAGTCATAAACACATGTAATCAACCCTGTAAAGTAAACAGCAGCATTTAGAACCATTTTAGAGCCGGGCATGCACACAGAGACCACACAGAGCCGGGCAAGTAAAAAAAATTTTTTTTTTAAAGTATATGTGTAGGCTATATTTGGACCATAAGACGCAGGGACTTTTTCCCCCCACTTCTAGGGGGAAAAAAGTGCGTCTTATGGTCCGAAAAATACAGTAATTGGTGCCCAAGGATAGTTTACTAAAATTAAGTCATTTGAGAGAAAAGCAGGACTCCAGCCTGCTGATGGAAACTGTCAAACAGAGTTTTCTCCAGCTTCTGTTTGCTGCTCTTTTTTAAAAAATATATATTTTATTGATTTTTTTACAGAGAGGAAGAGAGATGGATAGAGAGAAAGATCGATGAGAATCATCAATCGGCTGCCTCTTGCACACCCCCTACTGAGGATGTGCCCACAAACAAGGTACATGCCCTTGACCGGAATCGAACCTGGGACCTTTCAGTCCACAGACTTATGCTCCACCACTGAGTCAAACCGGTTTTGGCTGCTGCTCTTTTATTGAATGGAAGTTCATCCTCAATTCTCTTGTGATAGCAGAGGCTCAAATAATGTCTCATGATTTCTTTCCAAAATTAAAGATAAAGCTCAATTAGCAGCGATGCTGGGGATTCAGAAACTTTCCTTATAAATATGGTGTTCTCTAGTTTACTGTTTCATTCACAAATGTCTATATGTGGTATTTGTGTTGGGGAGGTGACTTAGTATGTACAATTTTGCAAATAACTGCAGATGTAGGAAAAGCAAAACATATATGTGAAAATCAAAATTTGCTCCAAATAAAAATGATCATGTAATCATTTGCCCCCATAAAATAATTCACTAGAGTATTCCCTTACATAATTAGCATTTAAAATTTATTTTATTCTTAAAAGTTGAATTTATAATAAACTTTTCAGGAACATATCTGGGCACTTCCTAAGAATATCATAAAATTTCCGGGGGAAAAAATTTTAAATGTTTTTTTCACAATCTCACAACACTGCCTTATCAAAACAGCATAATCTATAACCGCACAAAGGAAAATAGTTTATGCCCAGAGTCATAATTCAAATGCCATAGAAAGATATAACAGTTGAGGGAGAGATAACTTGTCCAATATACTTTGGACAAATCACCCATAAAAATGACTAGAATTTTTTAAATGTATTTTAAAATTCCTACTTAAATCTACATTACCCAAATATGAGTTGCTTTGATTATTAACAAATTACTTTACAGCTCTCTAGATTGCAGTTCTTGAGACTAGAAAATATCAGTGGAATCAGAAATGTTAACTAAGCAGTAGTACCCATTACACCAACAATATATTGAGACAAACATTTGCAGAGAATCATGGTTAGATTCCATGCAGGTAACAAGGGTTTGGTGTATTACTTTGATATTCAAAATCTAGGTCTGGTGTCATGACTGCCTTGAATTTTAGTGCCGACTGTGTCACTTACTACCAGCCCTAGTAGATAAATATTTTCCACACTCTAAAATTTGTTTCATGATCTGTATGGTTCCTCCTCACAGAGTGCTGTGATAATTAAAGGAGGCAATATGTAATGAGACTAGAGACATTATATGGATACAATAAAGCAGCCATTACTACTACCTACAGGTACATGTTGAAAAGAAATTAGCCATATTTTAAGTTATGTAAAAACTACCTAAGTAATATAGACAGCATAATATAGACAGATAGATAGACAGATAGATAGACACATGTACACACATATATACATTCACACATATGTGTGTTTATACGTATAAAGGTAAATTTTTATCCTCTTTTATAGTTAAAATTTTCATCTGCAGGGCAGTAAACTGCCAAATGCTGATATGAATTAGAGCTGAGGTTCATACCTGGATATGATTGATTCTCTAAGATACAGTTCATCAGAACCTATATTTATCACATAAAAGGTAACATTTTAAAATTTAAAAAAATCATTGACTTGTATTACCCTGAAATCATAAGACCTTCATAGTCTAGCAAAGTCTTTTAAAATTTGAGGGGGGAAAGAAAGTCATGTCATTTTGAGTGGAGATGAAAGGAAAAGAAGAATTTGCAATAGATGTTGTATGCATAAAGCTTTTCATAAATATTGGACATTCTACTGAACCCCTAACAGATGGTCATGCAGACTATATTTGAATGTTTTTGGTAATTGCTAACCTCATTAAAAAGTTTTTCCTTATAGTGAG